GAAATCAACCAATAACAAATGCTGGCGGGGCTGTGGGAAAAAAGGAACCCTTCTCCACTGTTGGTGGAAGTGTAGACTGGTGCAACTACTGTGGAAATCAGCATGGAGATACCTCAAAGAACTAGAATTACAGGTCCCATTTGACCCCGCTATTTCCCTACTGGGGAATAAAAGAATCATACCACAGCAATATATGTGTGCCCATGTTCATAGTGGCACAGTATGTAATAGCTAAAACTTGGAAACAGCCCAATTGCCCATCAACTGGAGACTGGATAAAGAAAATGTGTTGTTTTTTTTAAATAAAATGGAGTACTACTCAGCTATAAAAAATGAGAAATTAGAGACATTTATTGCTAAATTGATGCACATTGAGGCAACACTCAAATGAAATAAATAGAACACACATGTGTAAATACCAAATAGTTTCTCTGCTGTGAAAAACTAAAAGTGTAAATAAGGATCAAAAGGCATAACATATTGTGAAATAGGAAGGTCCAAAGGGGAAGGGGAAGTGGGAGGGATTGGGGAAAGGAAAGAAGGGAATGGAATTAATGAGAAAAATGAAAAAATAGAAACAAAGCCTTTGTAAATAGGGAGGGGTAGAGGGGTTCAAGGGAGGGCAGGGGAATGGGGAAAAAATAAGAAATAAGGTAGATTATGGAAAGGTACAAATTTCCAATGATGAATGTCATTACATTGTATACCTAAAATATACCAACAAAATTAATTAAATAAATGGTGCTAGGAAAACTAGATTTGCACATGCTGAAGATTAAACCTAGACCCATATCTCTCACCATGCACTAAACTAAAATCGAAATGGATCATTAAAATAGAAACAATCTGCTGGAAGATAAAATAGGTAAAACCCTTGAAGACATAGATGTAGGCAAAGACTATGAACAAAACTATGATTGCACAGGAAATATTACAAAGAATCAACAACTGAGAGCTCATCATATTAAAAAAACTTTTGCAAACTGTATTTCTTTTCCACCCTCAATAAATGTAAATCTTCACTGTCTTTTCCACATGTCTTATCCAGCCAGTTCTCTGTTCAGGACACCAAGAAACTGGAAGGAATTGCTCCAGGACCCCAAAACTAGTAACAGTAAGATAACCATACTTCATTTCCCATGCCTAATCACAGCCTGGTGTTATACTGAGAAACTAGTCAATTAATGTTATACAATTTTGTTAAGTGTTTTAGGGTTCTCAAGAGAAAGAGAACTAATAAGAGTGTGGGTGTGGGGGTGCGTAAATGGAGAACTAGCTGATGATAAGGAATTAGCTCACTCAAATATAGAGATAAGAACTCCCAAGATCTGCAGGCAGCAAGATGGAGAACCAGAAAAATTAGCAGTGTAGGCCTAAGAACTAGCAAAGTTGAGTGTGAGTTCCAGCCTGTGTTGGATTAACTAATGGTCAACTTGTAACACTCAGCTCAATTGAATCAGCATGGTTTTGGGCATGGAAGAACCACCTGAGGATTGTTGCTAATGGCATAAAAAGAGACCTGGAAGGAAAGATCACTGGCTGTTGATTTTCTTGCAGAACTTGCTGAGACTGGATTTTCTGATGTGAACTCAGCTGTTCTCAGAGAAGAAGGAGCTCGGGCCCTCGCTGTTGCTGGGATTGGCTGCGGTCCCTGTCAGGGGAGCTCTGGTCTTCACCCTGAGCCTCACTTCTTGGCTCCAGTGCAGATCCCTCAGTCTGGTGGCACAGATCCTTCAGCCCGCCAGTGCAGGCTTTTTAGCTTCAACCACTGGCCTTTGGATCCTCTCTGTGCAGATTCTCCATAAGGACTTGCATGAGACATTGCCGTGGGCTCTAGGCCTCTAGCTGAACTCATGGACAATATTGCCTTGTGCTCTAGGCCTTCAACTGGACTTGTGAGGGACACTGCCTTGGGGTCTAGGCCCTTAGCTGGATCCTTTGGGTCTCTGGTATGTAGATAGATCTCTTACACTCCTCTGCATTTGACTTTTTGGGTGAATCTATAAAATAATCCTATAAATTATGTGTCTGGTATTAAATCTATTCTTGCAAACCCTGACTATAATACAGCCCAAGTATTAAAACCTGAGAACCAGAGGAGCCAAGAGTGCAATCCAAGTGCAGGAGGAGAGTGATGCCCCAGTCTAATTAGCAAGAGTGAGTTTCCTGACACAGTTTCCTTATTTTATTCAGATCCTCAATTGATTGGATAAGGACTACTCACATTAGGGAGGGCAATCTGCTTGACTGAGTCTATGGATTCAAATATTAATATCATCCAAACACCCTGCAGACACACCTGGAGTAATATTTGACCAAATGTTTGGATACCCCATGGCCCAGTCAACCTGACATATAAAATTAACCATTACAAGCCCACCCATTATCAACTTGACACCCATATGTATCTTCTTAAACCATAATCTCTAAATTAAAAAAATAACAAAGTCATAATTCTACCTCTTTGAGTGATGCTACTCTTCTTGGTACCTATGATGGAAACACTAAATACTGTACTTAAATACTAAGATATAAAGTCAAAATAGCTTATGTTACATAATGAGGAAACAAAAGGGCGAAGAAAAAAGTGAAAACAAAGACAATATACTTTATACATACATATTTATAACAAAATGAGAAAACACATACGACAATTATAGTTGTTTCTGTACCTGATCACTTGATCACAGTTGATCTTTATGGTTACCTTCTTCCACTACCCATTTTACATTCCCTTTGCCTTTAGGAAGCACTTCAGATAGTAATGCCTGTTTACCTAATGAGACAATCCTAACCTTCATTCCTGAAGGATTTGGGCCATAATAGTTCTGGCCTGAGTTGGGCTGTTGTAGTTTTCCAATGATCGTAATCACAGGTCATGGTAATATTAAGAGACATCCTGAGAACCCTCATGTGGTACAAATATATTGTTCCTTGCCTCCAATTTGGAATAGCAGTCCAATTTTTCCTTGATATAATCAATTACCCAAGTCAGCAACAGCAATTCTCTTCTTTTGCCTACTGATTCGGAGGCATTAGGTGTCCAAAGTGGTCAGAGGGACGTCTTAATTTAAAGTTTAATGAATCATTGTTGTGCCTCCTCATCCTCATCTGGACCTAAGACCTTTAGGCCAGCAAGGCATAAGATCACAGAACAAAAAGCCAAACTTTTGCTAGTGGGTCACTAGAAGTAATAGTCCCATTCCTATTTTCACAGCTTGATTCCTGGACCCATGAACCCTCCTAATGAAAGAACGGAACCATATACTGGATGCTCATTCAGACTATTTACAGCCTTCTGGGGAATCTTGCCCTAGCCTTTCAAAGAATGGTCACCCAAGGTGGTACTGTAACAGAGTCATAAATGGCTGTTCTACCATTCCTCCAAGCCAGGTACTTCTGGATGATAGGGAACATGGTAAAACCAGTGAATTTCGTAAGTAGGGGCCCACTGCCACATTTCTTTTGCTATAAAGTTCCTTTTCCAGAAGCAACGCTATGGAATACTATGATGGTAAGTAAGGCACTCTGTAAATCCATAGTGGTAGTTTTAGCAAAAGAATTGCATACAAGAAGGAAAACCCATATGTAAAATAAATGTCTATTCCAGTAAAAATAAAATGCTGTTCTTTTCATAATGAATCTAGCTGATCATCCTGGGGAATGGTGCCTTATCAGAAGCTCTTTGACAGCTGCTGTTGGCGGACTGGGTATTCAGCAGTTGCCACACCCAGGTCAGCCTTAGTGACTGGAGATTCTGGTGCTAACACATATGCAAATTGTATCCTTTCCAACATAACAACTGTTCATGAGCCCAGTGGATGATAGCAATCGTGGCAAGAAAAGAAGGTGACTGGTATCCATAAAACAGATCATCCTCTTTGTGCTGACTTCAGCCTTTGGTGAATGTAATTATCTTCATTATTTTTGTTGTTGTTTTGGGGGATGCCCATTCCAATATGTCTCTTCCCCAATATTTTAACCCCACATTCTCATAGGCAACAGTCATGTGACTCTTCTACAGCAGTGGAAAGTAATACCCTCAGTGATGATGCCCAGGTACTATAAAATGCTAAGCATCTTATTAAATAAAAGAAAAAAATCAATTAACTTCAATAACTAAGACAACAAATTCCATAAATACATATCTAGACATTTTCATCAAATCAAGAAAAAAACAAAAAAAACTGTGCTTCTGGTTGTCTTCTTTTATTGGGAAAAGTAACCAGAAAACCCAATTTCCTTAAGTAATACGTTCAGGACAGTAGAAAGTAAATGTTCTATACATGTTTCTTTACTTTTACTTTGCCCTTTCAGCATAATCATTCAGGCAATTTAACCTTTTAGCCATAACTCACAAATCTAAACTGAAAATTTCCTTTCTGTAAGTTCATCCAATTATATAATGACAAAATGACACAACAGCTAATAATGTTATATGCCTGAGGCATACTGCTTATTATCAGTAACAGTAGATTACATTCTACCTTATCAGATATCTTTCATTCAGTTGACAATTTTAACTTTTTTTTTTACATTTATAAATTCCTAACTACACCTTTCTAAAGAACATACAATAGTTTTTATCTTACGGAATGTTCACAGCATTTAGCAGATGCTTAATACTACTCAATGATTTTAATAGCCATGAGACATTTTTACATATGCCCCCAACTGACCTCTTATTTTAGGCTGTAATATATGTAGTTAATGTAGACATTTTCAAATGGTAGATTACAATTGGGGTAAGGTTGCATTAAAGAGAATCTGGACCATGAAAATATTACACACAGCATCAGCAGGAAGACTAGAATAAGAACCTCCAAAAATCTCCATAAAGCCCGAGCAGCAGTGGCACAAATGGTCAAAGTCAACATTTTCAGAATTTTAAAAATAGATCAAAGGTTTGTAACAACGTAGAGGTACATTTTCAAGAAAAAATGGCTAAATCTAAGTAAATACAGCAAGCTTTCTGACAGTTTAATGTGTCTTATCCTTACCTTCTTCTCCCCAGCACCAATAAACTGTCCTGAAAACCAACAGGTTCAAAATTGTGAAGAAATCCAACAGCCTTGCAGCCACAAGAACAGAATGGAGCTGAAACACAAAGAAAAAAGAATGAACAAAAATGAAGAGTATGAGAAACTACGGGAAACCAACAAACAGGCATATCAATACATGCACAAGGAGAGTACCGGAAAAAGAGGACAAAAAGAGGCACAAAGAATAAAGAATCATGCCAGAAAACTTCCCGGATTTGATGAAAAATACTAATCTATATGCAAGAAGCTCAAAATATTCCAAATAGAGTAGTCTGAAATAGTTCCACACATGACACATCATAGCTACACTTTTGAAAGAAAAAGACCAGATCCTGAAAGCAGAAAGACAGATGCAACTCATCACAAACAAGGGATAAGATTTTACACCTGAAGCAAGCCAAAGTGGCACATACATGCCTGGGAGGACACATCATAGCTACACTTTTGAAAGAAAAAGACCAGATCCTAAAAGCAGAAAGACAGATGCAACTCATCACAAACAAGGGATAAGATTTTACACCTGAAGCAAGCCAAAGTGGCACATACATGCCTGGGAGGCACTCTGGGAGGCTGAGGCAGGAGGACTGCCAAGTTTGAGTCTCATCTAAGCAACTTAGCAAGACCCTATCTTAAAATAAATTTTTAGAAGAAAAAAATTTTTAAATAAAAGGCCTGGGTATGTAGCTTGGTGCAAAAGTCTTGAGTTGAAACTCCAGTACAGGGGGGCAAAAAAGAGCCTCACAAAAAACCATGAGGTCAGAAGACAGAAGGATGACACGTTCAAAGTCCTAAAAGAAAAAGGCTATTAACTAAGAATTCTAAATTCTGCAAAACAAATTTTGAATATGGAGAAGAAATTAAGACTTTCCAAGATAAACAAAAACAAAGAGGATATTGATGTACCACTAGCAGGTCTTTCCTAGAAGACATACAAATAGGGGGAATCCTTCCGGCTGAAAGGACAACAGGCAATACATGAATCTACATAAAGATATTAAAAGGACTGGTAAAAATAACTAGATAGGTGAATATAAAAAGACAATATAAATGTATATTTCTTTGTGACTCTTTTCTCCTAACTTAAAAAGAAAACTGCCTGAATCAAAAATTATAACTGTGTACCAGTGGTCATATAATGTAAAAAGTGAAATATCTATAATTATAGAACAAAAGAAGAGGAGGGAATGAAACCATATGGGAGTTAAATTTTTATTAATTTTCGGCCAGGGATTTAGCTCAGTGGTTCCACTGCCTGTCCTGCAAGCACAAGGACCCGAGTTTGATCCCCGGTACCAAAAAAAAAAAAAAGTTTTATTAACTTTAAATTAGAATTAATCCAAACTAGATTGGTATACATTGAGATATTGTTTGTGATCCCCAAGGCAATTACTAAGAAATTAACTTTTTAAGCATGTAGTAAAAAGAACACATGAATTGCAATGGTATACAGTCTATTGCAAAAGAAGCTGGAGAAAGGGCTAGGGATTTAGCTCAGTGGTTCCGCTGCCTGCCTCACAAGTGCAAGGACCCAAGTTCAATCCCTGGTACCAAAAAAAAGCCAGAGAAGGCTATATTAGAGAAATTAAGGGACAAGAACAAATACACACGAGACATACAGACCACAAAAAGACAGCAGAGCAAATTTTACAGGTAATTACATTAATTGTAAATAGAAAGGCAGGAATTAGTAGTATGGTTTAAAAGGATAAATTAATAAATCTTTTCTGTATAACAGACAATAGATAAGACTTAAAACAGCAAAATATCTCCTAAAAACTATCACCAATTGTTAAACGTTCTTCCCACTCAGAATAGAAATACTCATGACTCAGCGTGGTCCTTTTAATGCCACTCAGCTTCAGTAAACTTGTTTTTCATGCTCGATTTGAGCAAACTGAACAAAAAGTATAATCTCATTTTGCCTCTACTAAATTCATCACTAAAATAATTAACTTTTAATCACCATTTTTACTGATTTCTAAGCATACACTTTTTAAAAATATTCATGTAAACTCCCATCTATCAGTGAAGCATATTAATGAAACACATTAATGTACCTTGATGAAGTATTCTTTACTAAAGTTGAACTAATTTAAAATTAGAAATAATGACAGACTTAATAGAACATAAACCTGAGTAAACATTTTGAAAGTACTGAAACCTTCTAATGCTAATGTGTCACCCTTCTTAGTGAGTTTATTCTAAGCATTACAATCAGTACAGTCAAAACAAGCACACAAAATACAAAACACCTGAAGGCACTTGACACTGGCAGAGTGCCGATGGCTGAAGCAGACTCAGAGAGACCTGTGATCCAAGTCTAGTCCTTCCTTCCATTTACTATTAATACAGCCCAAGGTGAGTTTGTTCATTTGCCAGAGACTCAGTTTCCTCACTTAGGAAATGAGAAAATTGCTACTACCAAAAGTAGTGGCTAGAATTAAAATCAAAAACAGCATACCTAAAGGATTTTACATGATACTAGGTGAAAAGATTACTGTAATTCTAGAAGCAGAGTAGGTATATTAATTATACAGAATGCATCAGGAAGCCAGACAATGGCTTAATCCTACAGTCCCAGCACGCTGAGAGGCTAAGGCAGTAGGACCGCAAGTTCCAGCCCAACGCAGGGAACTTAAGTGACTTAGCAAACCCTGTCTCAAAATAAAAAGTGTGCTGGAAATGTTCAGAGAAATGGCCCTGGGTTCAATTCCCAGTGACTCAAAAAAAAGCATCAGAAATTCTATCTAGATCAGTAGCAACAAAGTGCACAGAAAAATCATTCAAATAACTCAAGACTCTAAAAGTGCAAAATAAATGGCTTGAACTAGATAATCCCTAAGGAAGGCTGAGTTTCTGAAATTCAACAATTCTTAACATGTGTCTTGGTTACTTTTCTCGTTACTGAGACAAAAATACCTGAACCCAAAGTTAAAGAAGGAAAGGTTCATTTGGCTCACAGTTAATAGAGGTTTTAGTTCCTACTTAACTAGCTCCAAGGCAGGGTGGCATGGCAGAGGGGCATTGCAGAAGAGAAATGGTTCATGGCAGGAAGAAAGGCAGCAAGCTATAAGTGGCAAGCAAGAACACTAGCCCTCTCTCTGTCCTTTATGTTTTATCCAGGCACATTCATGGGGGGGGGGGGGGCACCCTCAATCCTACCCAGAATTATGCCAAACTTAATCAATGGACTAATGCAGTAATCACACACCCCTGATCCCAGCATCACACACTAAATTCCAGTATCATACATTCCAGCTCCAGCCACCTCTGACAAGCTCCTCTTATGAGGCTTTGTGGGGACTTGTAGATATAAGCCATATCATGTTACCCCAAAAGCCAATGATACTGATTCAAAAATTTGTTTCATAAATATTCTAGACAACCAATTCCAAGAACACCAAATGAAACTAAGACACAGTGCATATTAAGAACCTGAAAAAAAAACTTCATATGCTGTAAGGGACAACCTCATTTTGAAAAGTAATTAAATGATATTATAGCCATGTGACACAGCAGCCCATAACCATTACAGATCAACTTCTCAAAAAAAATTCATGATGTAGTAATTACTTATAATGTGATGCTGAGTGAAAGGGTCAAAATTCAAAACAAAGTTACAATTTTGTCTTTATAAATGTTTGCAAAAGAAAAAAAAGGAAATCCCATCAAAATGTAAGCATTTCTCTTCAAAATAATGGAAGAGTAAAATTGTACCATAATCAACTATAATTTCTACAATCAAAAAAGCAACATTAATTTATGACTAAGCTTTAAAAACTCTAAGCAAAAAGGAGTCCAACTGAACTACTTCAGTCTATAAAATACCAACAGCCAACTACTCAATAGTAACATACATGCCTTCTCTACTAAAATGAAAAACAAGGCAAGAATGTCTGCTCTGATTTGTCTTATTCAAATAAGTAGAGACCCTAACCAGGGCAATGAGACAAAATAATGAAATCAAATACATGGGACAATATGAAGTAAAGCTGTCTCTTGGCAGACAACATGATTACCAATGTAGAAAATCCTGAAAATATCTACAAATCTACTAAAACAAGTGAGTTTAGTAAGGCTGTCTGATTCAAGGGCAATAGGAAAACATCAATGTATGTAAACAACTGAGAATTAAAACTCTTAAGGTTATCATTTAAACAGCACCAAATAACATAAAACACATATGTAATGTAACAAAATGTGTGCAGATTTTTAGCTGAAAGCATAAAAACCCTGAAGGAAATGATCTATAACTTTTAACACAATCCTAATCAAAATCTCACAGTGCTTTTATAAAAAAAATAGGTAAGTTCCTTTTATAACTTACATAGAAACAAAAGAAGCTAGAAAATCTAAATTTGACAAATGACAACAGGACTGAGCCTTCCTGATTTCAAGAAATATTATACAGCTACAGTTTTAATAAAGAGCATATGGTTTTCCAAAATGTGAAAAAACAGAATGATGGAACAGAATAGGGAATTCAGGAATAGATCCACACATATAGACTTGATGAATTTTTGACAATAGTGCACAAGACATCTAATGAGAAAAAAATAGTAGGAATAATCTTTTCATCAAATGACAATGCGAGAATTGGACATTCATAAAAAGAGAGAGAACTTTAACCCAAACTTCATGTCATATGCAAATATTAACTCACAATGGATCAAAACTTAAATGTACAATCCAAAACTTAAAATTCCAGGAGAAAATATATGGGAAAAAAAAAAAACTTGCAACCTTGGGTTAGGTGAAATAGTGGGGATACAGAAAGAAAAGCATTTTTTTTTAAATACTGATGAACTAGAAATCATCAAAATTAAAAACAGTGGCTCCTTGAAATTCACTGTTAAGAAAATGAAGGGCCAAGGATTTAGCTCAGGGGAACTGCACCTGCCACACAAGCGCAAGGTCCTGAGTTTGATCCTCAAAAATACAAAATACAAAGCACAGACTCAAAGAAAATATATTTTTAACTTTTTATTAGTACAAATTTGCAATATATCTTTACATTCATCTTATGGAGCAGATATATGTACTTAACATAACTTTTTATTCCACTTCCCTTTAACTTCCTCCTCTCTCCGTCTCTAGATCCCTTTCCTCAAATTTTTTTTTAGTTCATGTTTGCAATACATAATGATTACATCCATTTCCGGTAATTGGTACATGTACATAATACAACTTAATTCTTTTTACATCCCTTCCCTTACTTCCCTAACCACCACCTCCTAACCTCTTGGTCCTTTTCCAACTTGCAATAGATATAATTCTAGGTTTTGCACTTTCATTTTGCTGTTTATTTATATTTTGGGTTTCTCATATAAAAGAAAACCTGCAATATTTAAGCTTGTGTGTCTGATTTATTTTACTTAAAATTATGGTCTTGAGGTGCATTCATTTTTCCTACAAATGACTCCAATTTGTCTTTACAGCATAGTATTCCACTGTACATAAATACATTTTCTTTTTCCATTCATCTGCTGATGAACATATAGGCTGCTTCCAAAATTTAGCTATTCTGAACTGTGCTGCAATAAACATGGGTAAGCATGTATCACTGTAATATGTCTTTAATTCAGAAAGATACCTAGTAGGGGAATAGCTGAATTGAATGGAATTTCTAGTTTTAGTTTTTTGAGGAATCTCCACACTGATTTCCACAGTGATCCATAGTTTACATTCCCAACAAGAACACAGAAGCCCTCCCCCACAACCTGCAGCCTCATCATCATTTATCATTATTTGGTTTCTTAATAATTGTCATTCTTTCTGGAGTAAGATGTAACCTCAGTATTATTTTAATTTGCATTTTTTCAGCAATATTGAACATTTTTTCATGTACTTATTGGCCATTTTCTTTTTCTTTTCTTTTTTTGGTACTGTTTTCTTATGGCCTTCATCTGAGCAGTGTTTATTCATTTCACTTACTCATTTTTTAATTCTATCTTTTATTTTGGGAGCTCCAATTTCTTTCAATTCTTTCTTACATATTCAGGATGTTAGTCTTCTGTCCAAGGAATATCAGGAAAAAAAATTTTCCATTCCTTATGTTGTCTTTTCACTCTTTTGTTTACTTCCTTTGCTATGCAGAACCTTTTTAATTTGCTTTGTTTACATTTGTTGTTATTTCTTATGCAATTACAGATCTGTTCGGAAAGTCTTTGCCTATATTGATGACTCCAACAGTTTTACCTATTTTATCTTCCAGCATTTTAAATGCTTTTGTTTTAACATTTAGATCTTTGAACCATTTTGATTTTAGTTTAATACAAGGTAAGAGATACAGGTCTCACTTCAATCTTCCTCATGTGGATAGCCAGTTTTCCCAGCACCATTTACTGAAAAGGCTATCTTTCCTCCAAGCCATACTTTTGGCCCCTTTGTCAAAATCAGGTGGCTGAATGTGCCTGGGTTGTTTCTGCATCTTCTATCTGCGCCATTGAGCCACAATGTCTGTTTTTTGTGCCAGTACTACGTGTTTTCATCACTGTAGCTTTGTAATGTAACTTGAAATTCAGGATTATGATGCTTCAAGCAAGGACAAAAATCACATGATCATCTCAACAGATGCAGAAATGGCTTTTCACATTCATGATAAAAACCCTGAAGAAAATAGGTATTGAAGGTCCTTATGTCAATCTGGTAGAAGCCATTTATGACAAACCAATAGCCAATATATTAAAGGGAGAAAAACTGAAAGCTTGCCCTCTAAAACCAGGAACAAGACATGGATGTCCACTACTGCCACTCCTGTTCAATACTGTACTCAAAACATTAGCCAAAAAAGTCAGCAAGAACAATAAAAGGAACACAGACAGGAAAAGAAGTCAAATTATCATTATTTAAAAATGTCATAATCCTTTAGAGAAGACCCCAAAAATTCCACCAAAAGACTCTAGAATAATCAAATTCAAGCAGGATACGAAATAAACACAAAAATCAATAGTATTTCTGTACACCAATCACGAAGCCACAAGAAGGAAATTAGGAAAACAATATCATTCACACTAGCATCAAGAAAAATTAATTATTTAGGAATTAACCTAACTATGGAAGTGAAAGACCTCTCAACAAAAACTACAATACTCTGAAATTGAAGGAAATTGAAGAGGACATCAGAATGAATAGACATCCCCTATTCCTGGTTCCTGGCTGTTACGGTTTGTGTCTAGATGTCCCCCAAAGCCTCAAGTGGTCAAAGACTATTTCAGAGGTCGCTGAATCTAGAGTGTGTCATTGATTCAAGGTGGGGCTAGGCCCAAGGAAACTAAGATTATAGGCGTGAGTGCGCTCCCCAAATCTGAAAAAGACAAAGGGGCAGAAAGACGCCTTTAGCTTCTCTTGCTGCTTTTGGGGCTACGAACTGTTTCTCCTCTGTGACACTCCTCTGCCATGTGCCACTCTGCCTTGGAGCCAGCTAATTAGGGACTGAAACCTCTACAAACTGTGAGTTAAATAAAATCTTTCCCCTTTAATTTTGGGTGCTGGGTGTTTTATCTCAGCAATCAGAAAAAAGTAACTAACACTTTGGCTGGCCAAACCTACATTGTCAAATGGCCATACTTTCAAAACTGAAATGCAGATTTTATGCAATCTCAATCAAAATACCAACAGCATTCCTAAGCTAAAGAAATCAATCCTAAAATTAATAAAGAACCAGAAGAGCCTCAGAATAGCAAAAGCAACCCTAGGTAACAAAATCAAAGAAAATATTTTTAAACATCTATATGATAAAATATTTGTATCCTGACTGTATAAAACACTTATTGCCCAATAATTTTAGAAAACCACAGTAAAAAATGACAAAATCTGAACAGACACTTCAAAGACACACTTGGCAACTAATAGCACAGGGAAGTATGTTCAACATACTAGTCAGCAGAAAAATACAAATTAAAGTATCAATGAGTTATCACTAAATACCTATTAGAATATCTAACATTAAAAATAAATGACACATGTGGACTAGGATATGGAACAACTAGAACCAGCACACATTACTGGTGGGAGTACAAAATGAAACAGCTACACTGGAAAACAGTCAGTAATCTCATACTAAGTTAAACATGCACTTGCCATGTGGCCCAATAACCCTACTTCTAGATGTTTAACCAAAAAAAAGAAAACATGCATCTACATGAATGTACACACATGTACACTAATGTACAATGAATTGCACAAATTACAAAGCTTGCATGTGAATATTTATAGCAAGTTCATTCCTAAATGCCAAAAGCAAAATGTCCATCAAATGATGATGATAGTGACACATTCACACAATGAAATACTACACAGCAATTTAAAAAAAAGCAAAGTACTGAAAAGGACTAAATGAAAGTGACCAGAAACAAAAGTCTGCATACTATATGTTTCCCTTTATATATCCCAGTAATAGGAAAGCTATAGACAAAGAATAGATTAGTGGATGCCAAAAGTGATGGGTAAAGGGGAGAACTTTTTGAAATGATGCAAATGTTGTCTGGATTGTGATGTGCTTACATGATCACGCACTTGTCAGTTTACACAATGATATACCAAAATTACTTTTAATCTGTTTTAAGTTATACCTCAATACCCAAATTTTAAAAACACCACCAATTTAAATGAGCTAAACTCAGTTTACTGTGTGTGGGAGTGAAGCATGGAGGAATAGTGAGGAAGAGAAAAACCCTTAAAATTACAAACCTAAAGAAACAATGTATCAGTATATAAGAAATATACATTAATAAACAGTTAATTTGAATAGAGTTCCCTTTTAAGAGTTCTCATTGCAGAGAAAGTTGGACAACTGATGTGCCTTCACAACAGGCTGACAAAGAGGACATAGTGCTTATAAGCTACAGTTTGCACACAACTTACCTGAACACTTCTCTTCCATTTTACTAAAGGGAAACATCTCATCCACCTCGATCAACACTGACTTGTGCTATCCAGAGGAAGATATTAAACCTTCAAATGGCTCTTTATTCATATCAATTCTAGATATTTCTCAAATCTTGTAACACCTTAAAAATATGTACCTTATTAGGCAAATTCCTGTGTATTCATTTAAGCTTTACACAAGCTGTTAACCATCTATTTTGTCGGACACCAAAAAGTGATGTGCCTGTGACGATTTTTTTAAGCAGTTTCTCTTTGTCAAGTATTAACATGACCAAAAAAAGGAAAAATGTCTCCAAAGTTTTGATACAATCATTCCAATTAGGAAACACATTTTTCATTAAATAAAAGTTAAGAAGTTTTTACTTTCATCACTTTTAATGTTTATTCCATTCAACTTATATTGTTGCTAGGAAACCACTTCACAGAAAGATTTCCCAGCCCACAGAACCACCTCCTAACCAGAGTGAAGTTAACAAACTTTGTAACCCGGGCAATTCACCACACACTACACTGGTCAGAGGCAGCACACAGGTACCATGGGCCTGCCATCCACCTGGTTCCATTTATTTAAAAGGTACAGTACAACCCACCCCCTTAACGCTACAGGAACTGTAAAGGGGATGACCCAAATGCAGAGCACTGCAGTGGCGAATTTATTGTCAGTCTCTCTCACTCCACCCATCAAAATAGTGGGAGGTTTCCTGCCTTAAATCGTGAGGTGAAATGTTGGCCCAACCCAACCACTGCATCAAGCAGTAGGTAAGGCTGCCTCCCAACAAGCCATCGGCAATTGCACCCGGATCAACATTTGGGCAGGAAAACGGCCTCGGCGTGTGCGCGGTGGCGGGCAGAGAGTCGAGAGTCACCCGTGGCCGGGCTCTGCCGTCTCGTCCTGGACGTCGAAGAATGACTGGCGCTTTACAGCGCGGCTCCGCACCAGCGGGACGACCCTCCTGCGGGGACAGCCTGGGCCGTCCCTGGCCCGCCTGGGGCATAGGAGGCGGGGACGCTGACCAGGCGCGGCGGGCCGCACGTGCGCCCGGAGACAGCGAAACAAGTGAATGCGAACGCGCGACTTCCCACGCCCCAGCGGCCAGGTCACGCGGCCGGGCCTTCCGGCCCGGCCCGGAGGGCGGCGTAATTTACCTGCTCCCGCCGCGCCGCCCACACCCGGCACGCCGACCGCGCCGCACGGGACGCGACCCCGCCGCGCAGCCTGTGGCCTCCAGAACCTAATCCGGAGCTGCACACCACCCGCCCGCCTGCACCTCTGACCCCGGAAGTGGTTTCCGCAAGCCCCGCCCAGGCCTGCGCGGCCTTCAGGCGCTCGCGATCGTCACGTGGCTGGGCTGAGGCTTCTCGGGAGCTGTGGACCTTGCGGGGTTCCTCCAGAAGGAGGTGACCTGGACTTACACTGCTTCCACCTGCTGGGTGGCCTCCGCCAGTTATAGCCCTCATCCCTCGCAAATGGCAGGCCTGTTTCTGTGCCTAACCAGTTCAAAAATCAACCATCCGCCCAATGAGAAGGTCTTTCTGCTCTGAGACTGCCTGTAAGACTCACCTCCAAGCAGGGTTCAAGGAAGATGGGAAAGAGGAGAGTGCCGGACGTGTAGGAAGTGTTTGAGAAACAGTGGCTGACCAGACACGAGCACCTCTCATCTCGTGTCTCAGTCCTCAAGCATCAGCGAGGGCAGAAGCTAAGAGATGCACCAACCACTGCTTACCTCCAAGAACTGCGCTGAGACTTTTGTTCTTGTCCTCAACTCCAGATCACTACTGTTCATATGCTATATCTTGTTACAGAGACAGCTTATGCCCAACTGCCAAGCCACACCTTTTTTGTAGGCCTTCCAAAAAATATCACATGGACAGCTATTTACAACAGTATTTGAAAGGAAGAACTTAGGCTTTTTGTGTCTGCTCCAGACTGTCAGTTAACTATTAGATAAAAATAGTCAACAGACAGCCCATTTGTTAAAAGATTCTTCCACTTTTACCACAAGAGGAATTAGAGAACATTCATATAACAGTTTTTCATATAACAATGTATGTCATTTACCCAGTATTAGATCAAGTTGTAATAAACCAAGAATGAACAAGTTAAAGGTCTTTGCCTTCAAGAAGCTTAACCTCTAGTAACCAGGACAGTGAGCATAATCTCTGGAGTTACCACATTAGTTGTATAAAGGGCGTTCTTCTACAACATGTAAATTATTTTTCTCTTCTTTCGGTTGAACACAGTTTACTCAAATCTAATTTCTGCTCTGTACTGAAAGTGAAAAATATTAGCAAGATCCAGATAAGCCTCCAATAAATGCAGACCTAACCCTTTAAAGAACAGTTTCAATATTGAGCATACACCCTTCTTTGTGTGTACAAAAAAATATATCTCTGTTCTAGAAAATATCCTTTCTTACAAAGATTTGATTACCTATTAGACCAATTTTCACTTTGTTTACCTTTTTTCTTTTCTTCTGTTTGTTCTTCCCTGTATCTATTTTCTGCCACTATTTACTCCTTAATGGGAGCTCCTGTGTCACATTTTTTTTTCCTGTGTCACTTTTATCCTCTCCTCAAATGCCATTACTTAATTTTCAATGTTTGCATTTTTCATTTGCTGGCTTCCCACATCCTCTACCTCTACTAATGTAACTACTAAGCTTTATGAATCTCTAGATAGCTAGGAAATATTATGTTATTTCTGTTTAATACTGTTCTATTGTTAGTAGAGGCAAAGTTGATCCATTTGATAGATATTTACTGTAGATCAGTAGTATAAAAATATCTTTGTGTTCATACTCTAATATCTCTTTTCTATGGTTAAGGGTGGTACTTTATTAGTCTTTAGAGCTTGTCAATATTGTTTGTGTTTGACACTTTAACTGATGCTGATTTTATCACTATAACTAAGATGACATTATTTTTACTACTAATTGGTTTTCATGAGATGCCAATATCTGGATTGTGTTTGAGTCATTAACAATACTGTGGTCCATTCTTGGAGAACTGAATACTGGGCCAAATATACTGCAGCCTTCCATCCCAAGTAAATGGAAGTGGTTGAATCTTGGGGCAGAGTTAAAGGCCAGTAGTTAACCATGCCCAGAGGACACCACTGAAAAGTGGACCTTAGCTAAAGAGGTCTTGATACGGAAAAGTTTTAGATAACTTAATAGATTGAATATAGAAGTAGTTGTAGAAGCAAAATAAGTAATGTGTTCTTTTAAGATTTGCTTTTCCCATAACTCCTTGTTTAAGGTGAGGATTATCTGATTCTAACCAGTAACTTCATTAACCTAACAAAGTTACCATGCCAGGATGAATCTACAATGTATATGGCCTATCTTGTGCCTGTGACTTGTAAATAGGAATTGGAACTGTATTTACACATCAAAGACCACTAGGGATGAGATAATGGCTAAAAAGGATATAAAAAGGGAAATGCTGACAAAGGGGGTGCAGATACTGACCAGACTGGTTTCTTGGCATTCCCACCCACTTGCGAGAAGAAATTTTATTATTTTATCGGAATTCTGTGTCTCTGTATTTCTTTCCGAGATTTCTGCAGTAGTCTCCATATGAGAAACAATGCTTTCCACTATAATTAACCTGCAAGCCTCAAGACAAAAACAAAAATATACAAACGTGAAGACACACCAATAAAATGCACCCCAAAACTCCCAGATACCCCAAAGCTGATCCATGTAGCATTGAAGGAGAGAAAGCTAAAGCCCACAGACCCATATTATCTAAAATTATAACAGGGGAGATAACAAAGCAGATCAGTAAGACATTTGGCAAACTCACAGAAGATGTAACCAAGGATATTAAACAATTTTTAAAATCAAAATAAAATGATCAGCAAATCTTAAAAAGACACTAATAAAAAGACAGAAGAATTAAACAAAATATTGTAAAACATGCGTAGAAAACAAAACAGCATAGAAAAGAATTAGGACCCATGAAAAAGTTCCAAATTGAAATTCACAAGATTAAAAATTCTTTCAAAAATATGGACAACAGAAATGACGATTGTAAGGATGGTGTCAGAAGTAGAAGAAAGGGCTGTTATCAGTGACTAATTTTTTACAGATACCTTAATGAGAGAACATGAAAAATTTATCCAACGGCTCCTAGATGACACAAATCTAAGATAGAAATTATTGAGAAATCAGAAGATAGCACAAATGCCATAAAAACCCTTTTTACAGAAATTTTTCCAAATACAGGAAAAGAATTTAACATACACTTAACTGAGGTATATAGAACCCCAAAATAACCACATATAGAAAAGAACATCTCCCCATCACATCTTCAAAATCCTGGAAGTACAACACATAAAGAGAATCCTAAAAGCAATTGGCAAAAAACAATGAATCACTTATAGAGGAAAACCTATTAGAATTACAGCAGACTTTTCAACACAAGCCTTAAATATTGGGAGAGGAAAGTATTTCAAGCCCTAAAAGAAAACTATCTTCAAACCTGGTTTGGATATCAGTCTGCTGATATATCCTACAAAACTGTGTTTCAAAACTAATGGAGAAATGAGACTGTTTCATAATAAAGATCACCTTAAGAAATTAATGACCACCAAACCAGAACTTCAAAAAACTCCTGATGCTATCCTAGAAAAAAGACAACAAAGCCTACAATGTCAAAATGTCTAAGAGAATTAATATACTGGGCAGGGTGACCAGGAAAGCATTAGGAAGAAGGTATAACCAACAAGAAAATAATGCAGCAACAAGATAACTCAATACTTTTCAGTAATAATTCTCAATGTGCATGGGCTCGGTTCCCCAATCAAAAGTCACAGACTGACAGATTGAATCAAGAAACAAAATCCAGTGGTGTGTTTTATACAAGAAACACATTTAAACCAAAAAGAAACTCATGGACTAAAAATCAAAAGATGGAAAACAATATTCCATGCTATAGGAACCCCACAAAAAGCAGGTGTGCTTAACCTACATTCAGACAAAGTGAACTGTAAATGAGAACTGATCAAAAGACACAAAGGAGGTCACTATATATTGGTAAAGGAAACAATCCAACAAGAAGAGATAACAATTACAGTGGTACCTCAGTTCAGAAACTTAATTTTTCTGTGTTTTGGAAAAGATGGCCATATTTGTGTTTGCCTGAGAAAAGACAGCTGTAATTGTGTTTATCACCCAATGCAGAGTTTGCAAACAAAAATAAAATTTTGCCAAGTGCTTCTGTTTGTGAACCAAATGGTTTGCAAACAAAGGCATTGGTGAACAGAGGTAACACTGTATTAACACACATGCACTGAACAATGATGCAGCCAACATCATAAAACAACGATGATGGTATAGAAGACCAGATAAGCATACATACAATTATAGTGAAGAATTTCATTACCCCACTATAACAAATAGATCAACTAGCAAAAAATCAATAAAGAAATGTCAGAGTTGAACTAAACATTGGAAAAAATGGACTTAATAGACATCTAAAAAGTGTTCCACCCAACAACAGAATAAACATTATTTTCAGCAACATATAGAACTTTCTTCAAAATAGACCAAATACTGACCAGTAAGGCAACTTAAAGTAAATGTAAAAGAATTGAAATTCTACCATACATATTATCAAATCCTATCTCAATGAAGTTAGAAATTGATGACAAAATAAAACAAATTATAGAAATGCATGGAAACTAAACAATACATTCTTTAAAAAAAACACCAGGATACAGAAATAAAACATTTTCTAGAATTGGATGATAATGTCAGTACAACACTCCAGAATTTATGTGACACAATGAAAGCCAACATAAGAGAGAAATTGATAGCTGTGATGCCCACATCAGAAAAACTGAGCAAGTCTAAATAATAACAATGCATTTCAATGTCCAAGAAAAACAAGAAAATCCAAAACCAGAACTAGTATAAAGAAGGAAATTATAATTGAGAAGAAATCAATGAAATTGAGACCAAAAAAATTGCAAAGAATTAAGGAAACAAAGAGTTGGTTCCTTGAAACAAGAAACAAAATAGACAAATCCTTAGCCAATCTAGCCCCCCCAAAAAGGAGTGAAAAGACCCAAATCAATACTATTAGAAAAGAAAAATGTACTATCACAACAGACACTGCTGAAATCTAGAAGATTATTAACAACTACTTTCCAAACCTGTAGCCAATAAATTGGAGGATTCAGAAGAAATAGATTTGTAGATACATAGGAATTACCAAAATTGAACCAGGAAAATTTAAAACTGCTGAATAATACAATAATAGGCAAGGAAATTGAAGG